CCCCAAAACCCCAAAACCCCAAAACCCCAAAACCCCAGTATGATGAAGAGAGATTGGTACTTTTAGAATGGTTAAATTTTTGTATAATTATAGTACCAACAATGTCACTCTACTGAAACCTGAAGAGACCAGGACTGTTACCTCTTGGACTTCCTCTTGCATAGCTTCCCATATGGTAGTTATCCCTTCTGTTGTATCAAGGCTGATTGCTTCCATATCCTACTCTGCTGTTAGAATTCATATTCATATTTTGAAGTGGAGGTCTTCCCATTGCGAGAGGTGGTTTGCTTGGCTGCTGATTGCTCATTCCTGATGGCTGCTTTGAAGCAATAGGAGGCATGCCCCACCTTCTTCTCTCAACTGGAGCTTTCTGTTCTTCGTGTCTTCTTGAATTATTTGAGTCACTTCTTTTGCTGATATCAATAGACCTTCTGCTGTTCCCTCTTGATACAAGATTACTAGCTGCTCTTTGTAGGACTCTTCTATCAATACTGTCTTGTCTAAAATATCTTCCAGAATGAGGCTGTTGCTTCATCAGGTGGAAGTCTTTCTCTAACTTCTTTGAGCTAACTACACTTTTAGGAATGAATTTGTTCATCTCAGATTTTTCAAAGTCCCACTTCTTCCTGGAAGAGGCAGATCCAGCTCTTGATCTACTATTCACTGAAGGGAGCCGACAAGGCTCACTATTCATCCTTTTGAGGCCTAACTTTGAATATTTTGGTCGAGGAAGTCTTCCAGCAAGATCTTGAAGCTTTTTAGGCATTTTAATTGTACCTAATAATCCATGATTTTTACTCTCAGGGTCTAGATTTTTACAGGTATTTGTTAGTTTAGTTTCAAGCTCTTCCATTTCCATAATATCTGAAGAGGACAATCTCTGTGTAGGCATAACCTTCAACATGTTCTTAACCAGGTCTCTCAAAGTTGTCGAAAATGCGGAAGTTAAAGCTGGAAAGATACCTTTACAAGCCTTATGAGATAGCTCTTGAATATTCAAAGCCGTAAATGGAGGCTTCTTCATGGCCATTTCATAGACTACACATCCTAAGCTCCAAATATCACTTTTGAAATCATATTGTTGTCCTTTCCAAATTTCAGGAGCTCAATAATAAGGAGTGCCTGTTTGGGTTTTCATTAATCCTCACTGAGCAATTTTTGAAACATTCATATCACCTAATTTCAAGACTCCATCCTGGGTGATAAACACATTGGCTGGTTTTAGATCTCTATGGCCAATGCCTTGTTGGTGAAGTGCATAGAGTCCTCTAACCATTTGAATAGTATAACTCCATATCCGGTCTTCAGTTAGTATAGTGCTCTTCTTATTCTTTGTAATAATAGACTGTAGATCTCCTTTCTCAGCAAACTCCATAACTATGTAAAGAACATTTTCTTTATGATCAATAAAAGCGTCTTTATAAGCAATAATATTATCATGTTCTAATGAAGCAAGAATTCTAACCTCATTTAAGGCATTCTGCTTCTCTGTCTCTCCTAGCTCATCAAGTTTTACCTTCTTCAGAGCATAAAATTCTGATGACATATCAGCTATAAGCTTGACATTATTCCTTACCTCCTGCAATCTTCTTGACCTTATAAACATCACTAAATGCTCCAGACCCCAATCTTTTAATAATCTTAAAATCGCTTATTTTTGTCTATATATACACCTTAACACATTCATAACTTTCTTCACCTCAAATCCCTTCTATCCATTCAAAACCCCTTAAATCCCTAATCTCCAGACCACCTTTTTCCACCCACGAACCCTCTTAAATCCCTACTTCCCCCTCCTAAACCCCCTTCACCCTCTTTATTCCTTAAAAAAACCTTACATCCATATTTAAATTTATGAATTTTCAACTGAAATCTCCCAAAGAGGGGTTTTGGGGTTTTGGGGTTTTGGGGTTTTGGGGTTTTGGGGTTTTGGGG